AATGCACACATCTAGTGTCAGACCAATAAAGATATTACCATTTTGAAATGTTCAATTGATCTGTATGCCAATATGCAGGGACTGATGTTTGCTGTCTGACTGAATGTTCGATAGCGATACAATACCATTACTTTTTAATTTGTTTTTCTATTTTATTCAATTATATATATACTGGTCTTATATTGGTTGGGTAGGTTATGGAAACTGATATCTAACCGAGATTTTAATGCTTAGTTTTTGCCAGTATTACCTGCAGCAGCTGCAGCACGAGGCCAGATGGTTTGCTCGATATCAGAGGCATCAATACTTTCTCCCCACATGCACACCTCACCACCAATGACCAATTTCTGCTGCTCAGGCGTGGAGATGTTTGTAAGGGGCTCATTCATGTAGAACTTCTGCCATGGGACATCCAAGTGATCCAAGTACCACTTGTCCTGGTTGCTCACAATGCATCTCAGTCCAGCCGCCACCACCTTCTGTGCTACTCCACCACCAAGCCTGCAAGCAAGGAAAATTGTCTTATGACAGTGATGACACCAACACAATCGATTGGACAAATTGGACAAAGAAAACACATGAGGTTTTTGAATGATGTAAGATAGTGTATCATCATAACTTTTGTTTTGACTAGACAGATTGGACAAAGACAAAATGGCATCAAGAGCATAATGCAATTAACATTCTATAAGAAATAATGATCTGATCTCATTGGATGATAAGTTTGTGCTGTATTAGTTTGTTCAGTTTGCCATGCTGACCAAAAGATGGATTTTGAAAAAGCAAACTGTTACTATATAAATACATAGTCAAAGTTTATAAATATGTTTATTTTGACTAATATTAGACATTTTACAACATCAACTACAAGTATGATGAATGAATGATAGATGGTCTCTGTTCCCACGTATCATCATGGTATCACTGATTACATGAGGGTTGTTAATGACCACATTTATTATCTAAAAAATCAACATTTGATGTGTGTTTTATCATTAATGATGAGAACTTATATTTGACATATTTGAAAGCATATGTATTGCTTGATACCAATTAGAACAAATATGGCAGATCAAGAAAAAATACCAGTTATGAACCACAGTTTTTGGGCTGAGTTGACTCCCAAAGTTGTTGAAAGTCTCTTCCCTGTTCATCAAGGAACACAAGTTTTAGAGCAGAAACAACCGAGGACATACAATTCATCCAGATGTAAAATTCATACCAATTGATGACTTCATATCCATGTGATAATGCTATTTTTTGTGCACGCAAAACAAAATACTTGTAGCCCTGAGATTCATTCATTCCATGTTTATTCAACCTGTAAAAGAAATTACATAATGTTGGAAGATAATCTAAAGTTTATCTGAGTTAGTGTTAAAAGGTGTTATCAAGAGTCATACTAAATTCTTTGTATTTGAGTAAGATCTTCTTATATGAGTTATGACTTTGTAAGCTAGATTAGGAGAAGAGTGATGGATAAACCTCTATGAATCATAGAAGTTCACCAAAATTCTTTGCAATTTTCAGACAGATACACCTTTTTTTTATGCTTGTCAGACAACGAAAGTTACTGAAGGATTAAGGAACAAGAGATGAAATATAATTGAATGTTATTGGAGGAATGCAAATTTATAAGAGAAACAGAATCTAATGATTTTTTGAATACAGTGAAACTGAGGTTACATTTTTTATAATAGGACTCAAAAATAGTCCGATGCTATTTAAAAATATTGTAATTCAAGTATCCATTTTTTTAATTAAAACTTAGAAAGAAAATTTCTAATAATTTACAAGTGATTTTTGGCCTAAGTGATCGTAAATTCTTTTCAAATTAGTCGAAACTAAAAAATTGACGCAAATGTTTTAAGGACTAAAATCAGTGAAAATATCTATTTTGAAAGTTGAAAATATCTATTTTAAAAGTTTGAAATAGAAAAAGTGATTCTTCAAGCCTTTACAAAATGTTTTTAAGGTTTTATTAAATCTTGGATCGTTTTGAAATAG